TGAGGCAGAGCCCCCAAGGGAGAGTCCTAGAAGAGGAGTGAGTTGCTGGGGAGGTGAGGGAACCAGGCAGCTGGGGACCTGGAAAACGCTGCTGTGAAGGAATGGACACATGAAGTCTCTTGGAAAAAGGAGAACTGCTCTTCTGCTTCTGTTTTGTTCAAGGAAAGCCTTCTTCTTGTAAATATGATTTCCTTTGACCATTCCCATTGTTGGTTGAATATTTAGCCAACAGTCTGATAAATGTCATCTGCAGGTCTGTCAGGAGGTGAAAATGAGACCTGGGCTCAAGCCGGGTTTGGGGCATCAAGTTTGAGCACAGGAATGTTGGGAAGAAGGTAGTTCATGAGAGATGCCCAGGATGTGGATTCCAAAGATCTCTGAAAGGATGGAGGACAAGATCAATGTTTGCCTAAGAGCCAAAGGGGTGGCCCATGGGAAGGGCCACATATCCAGATTCAGGCTGAGAGGCTAAGTATGGATGCACATCTGGGGAGCTGCAACCAGAAGGAGGAGTTCAGAGAAGTGGAGGGGAGTAGAGCCTGGAGTAAGGCTTGAGTCCCTCCATCAGGGCCCTACAGCCACCCCGATGGTAGTGGTGTGAATGGCTTGCCAGGATCTACCTCTTGTTGTTGAGGCCACTTTGGGACACAAGACAGAGTTCATGAGGGAATCCGTACCCCAAGGCCTGAGGGGATTTTACTGACTGTTTCGGAACCAGGCAGTTGAGAGTCAGTGCTCATCAAAAGTAACGTGGCATCTCCATGCTTTCCCCCCACACACTCCCCATTCCCAACCCTTTCCAATTCAGCCACCACACTCCACCACAGCCCTTCTCCCCTTAACCAACCACACCACATCTCGTGCATTTGGGGGTGGTTATCGGGGGAGCCCCAGGGCACTTGCCCTCACAGTATCCCATAAATGCATGTGTCTTCCTCTCCTGGGTTTCCGGCAGCTCTTGCAGAAGTCATGACAGCATGGTGTGTAGAGTGTCGCCCTGAACCTCATGGACTTGCTCCGATGGCTAATATCACGTTTTGAATCCAAATATTACCCAGGTCCTCAAAGTAGACATAAAGGCAGTGAAGAACCCCAGCTATAGATGTGTAACTACATCATACCCACGATGGGAGGCTATGACATGTTTTCAGATAAGAGAGAATATGTGGTATTATATGGAAGACGTTTCCATGGACAAAATAAAGCCAGCTATGAGAAAAAGAGAGTGAGCGAGCGAGAGAGATCATAATGTAGAGAATCTTCAGGAGAAGAAAAGGGGGAGAGGCCAGTGAGGACATTAGTGTCCCAGCTATATCCTGGCATCTTTGGCAGGACTTTCCCTGTTGCCCACCCCAAGTTGGTTTGATTCACCCATCCGCCCACCTTTTTTGTGACTTCACAGCAGAGCGACTACCCTACTGTTAAGAGTAGTTGACAGTTTGAGAACAGTTACCTTATGTCATGTGCACAAAGTATATGCCATCAGTTTTGTTTTTGCTTTTCCCTTAAAGATTTCTATCCCATAGATTCAGGTCCAGGAGAATTCCTATGATCTCTTGAAGATTGAGTAGGGTTACTTCCTCTCTCCCCTTCCTCCCCCTAGTTCTCTTAACCCAGTCAAATTCTCCGCATATCTGTTGACTATGTGCTAGGCATCTTCTCAGGTAATGGGATGCCAGCTCTGAATATGTCAAAAAATGAAAAAATAAAAACAGATTACCATTTCATGTAAGGAAGGGGGAGACTATGTAATAGTGGGGCTTCTTTTATGTAAAGGAATTGAGAAGTTCCCGGAGGTGTCCTAGTTTGGGCTGCTGGAACACCATAGTCTGGATGGCTTAAAGAGCTACATTTATTTCTCGCTGTTCCAGAGGCTGGGAAATCCTAGATAAAGGCACCCTCAGAGCTAGCGTCTGGTGAGAGCCCACTTCCATGAATAGGATTCATGAATCCTGTTCATGATGGCTACATCCTCATGACCTAATCACCTCCCAAAGGCCCCATCTCCTCCTACCATCTCTTTAGGGAATAGGGTTAGGATCTCAGCATATGAATTTTAGGGGCACACAAACATTCAGTCTATAGCAGGAGGTAACACCTGAGCAGAGGCCTACATGATAATAGCCAGAGGAGCAGCTCACATGTATCCTGCATTTCCTTACAGTGGCAGGAGATGTGGGAGGGGCTTTCCATAGAGTAGCTCATTTAATCCAGCAGCCCCCTGAAGAAGGTACTTCCTTAGCTGCATTCATAAGTGTGGACACTGAGGCTTACAGATGCAAAACTGCTTTCCCAGGGTCACCCGGGAAGTGAGGGGTGGAATGGGAATTTCATCTGACTTTAGAGCTTGGCACTGGTAACCACCAAGCTCTGCTGTCTAAGCATTTGTACCCTGCAGGGGGAAATGCCTGGTTCTCTGCTTTCAGTCTCCCTCCCCAGTGGGTTGAAGGTAATGTTTTCACACTGTGCTCTTTGGAAGCTCCGGGGCTTTTTTGAGGCCAGGATACGGGTGTGGGGTTACACCATGGTGTCTGGAGAATGCTTCTAATTCTGTCTGTTTTATAGATTAGGCTTCAACAGAATAATTTTTTTTTTTTAAGGGCTTGAAGTCCTTAAAAGAGAGTTGGAAGAGGACTTGCTTAATGAGTATTTAAAAATTTAATTTAAAGAGCGAAGGATGTTTGTGGTCATGTAGCAGTAGTGATGGCTGGGGCAGGGGGCGCTGCAACCGCGGTGGCATCTGGTGGACCCTTGCCTCGGGGCTTCCTAGGTTCCGAGTCCTAGTACTTCGCAGTACTCATCTGTTCAGTCCTCACAGCAAGCGCAGGAGGGGGTTTGTGTTACAAAGGAGGGATCAGAAGCTCTGAGGTGAGTGACTGGTCCAGGTTCCACAGCTGGTGAGTGGCAGGACCAGGACCTGAGGCCAGGGGGTCCAGCTGCAGAATGCATACGTTGTTAACCCGTGATGCGGGGCCAGGGACCTGAGCCTTCTGTCCCTGGGCCTAAAGTGAGAGGTATGCTTGCCTTGAAATCTAGACTCGGTGGCTGTGTGTCCAGGGAGAGCCCTTGACGGGCTGCACTGGCCATAAGACTGTTGTTCACCACGATCTGGGATGCTCTCTGCATGGACTCTTTGCTGACAAAAGTGTGACATTTCTCAGGAGCAAAATGTGGTCCCCCAACTTTCACATCCATGGGCCTGGCATGGCCTGCTTGCATAACTCGTTTTAAAAGATGGATTGTTGGTTCATCACATTAATGAATTAAGCCAAGGCTGACAGCAGCCAGGGCCCAACACCAATAACACATTTGTTTGCTTATGTGCAACAGAATGGTCAGCCATCAGCTGGCCCTCCTTGATCCAAAGTTAATTCTGAAGGTCAAAAGGCAGAGGAAAGTCATCATAAGCTGTTCACCTCATTTCACCACCTGGACAACCAATTCTGATCCATGCCATGAGGGAGCCTTCCTGCTAAGTGTTCCTAAAAGGGCTCCACCACTGTAGATCTCAGGTCTAGCGGCAGATTCCTAACAAATTGGAGTCATTGCCAACACAGCAGAGTGCTCCTGCCATCCTCCCCCCGCCCAGAGGAGGACTTGAACTAAGGGACATGATGCAGTGTGTCTTCCATTAGTGGCCAGTCCACATGGAACCATGGAGACAGAAGCTAGCAAGCATGCCATTCTGGACTCCAAACGTTGAGTCAACATAAATCCCAAGGCCTCAGTTGCTGAAATCACCCAGAAAAGGAAACATTATTGATTTCTCATATTATCTAATTTCTGGGCACTGCCTATGGAATCACTCTGTCTCATTGAACAATAAAGTATATTATGAGAAAAGAGAGAGATGGTTCCCGGGCTTTCCTCACTGCCTGTTTCCTTTTTTATTGTTATTGCTTTAGCAGCATTCATTGTTGGAGCCTCAAAGCCACCAGACAGGGTCCCACAAATCCCCCTGGCTCCTTGTGTGGGAGCGAGGCTGAGATGATATGCAGTCCTCTGGATGCTCCTAGTGTCATCATTCTAGACCCAAACCAAGATATGATTTAGGAGGTCCCGATAAAACTGGGGATCAGTGGCCTAATTGGAGTCATTTATCCCAGTCTTGAGCTATCAAATCGGTGCTCCTGGGTTGCAGGGCGTTGGGTGGGGGTGGTTTTTTTTTTTTCTGGTATATTTCACAATGATTACTTTGAAAAGAATCTCATTTGTGAAGTTCCTGCTTTCTAGAGCATATCTGGGTAGAATGTTTGTAAGAAGTAGCAGCTCCACTTAGTAGCTCTGTAGGTTGAGATTTGGCCCATCCTAAAAGAGGATGTCTTTTCTAAAAGCATGACTCCCAGATCAATACCTGCTCACTCGAGTTAGAAGGAGAATGTAACCGTCCAAAAGATGGTTCTGCCTAATATGTGAATTCAGGAACATTAGAAAACAAGAAAGCATATGCACCAAGAGAAAAGTGGAATGTGGGAAAAAAATCCAACGGAGAATTCTGATAATAAAATTTGGATCACACTAAATTCTATTTATTCTGAATGTTTTACTTTGTTGGAGTCGTATGTGACAATAGCCATATTGAAATGGTGAAAATCTTGTATTCAGCTCGTGTTAAGGAAAGAGAATGTTCCTTTGAAAGATTTTGCAGTAACATTTAAAGCAAGGAACTAATTATTCATAACAAATCACAAAATGGTGGGAGAGAGGGAGCTTCACTTAGGAAACTTTCCCTGCTTGCTACTGATCCTTTGGTAAGTGAACAGCATAGTCTCAAAATGTTGCATGCAGGCCCAGAGATATTTATTCATACTAAAGAAACACAACTTTTCACTATGTAAAATGATTCCCTCCGGACAACGTTTAAATAGTGTGCCAGCCCACCAAATGAAGCAGGCTGACAGGTCATGAAGGAACGCATTTCATCACTACTCCTCAGAGGCTGAGTATCTGGATCTTATCACACCACAAAGGATCTTTGTTCCTTGATTTTATCTGCCACCTTTTTTTTTTTCCTCTCTGGTTAATCCAGTTGTCACTGTTGGACAAAGAGAAAAGAAATGTATCATTATGCTTTAGTTATTTTTAAAAGCACCTGCTTTTTGGAACACACTTTGTAAAAATTATTTGAACACACTTTGTAAAAATTATTTGAAATAGATTAACGTTTTGAAATGATAATGACATAAAATTATATTAAGTAATTTTCCTAAAAAATAACTCACATTGAAAACAAAGTGTGACACCATCAGCCTGAAACCCAACTTAGGATCTAGTCTGGATTCAGTTACTTCTGGGTAACTGATACTCAGATCGTGTGTCTGTTTTCACACCCAGGGGCATCCATCTTGTCCTAGCCTGACCCCCGTGAACTTATAGATCTGCCTCCTGGTCTCTGTTAGCACTAGAAAGGGAAGTAGCACAAGCTTGCCCTTCATGGCTGACCTTTCTGGGCTTCTCATCACTTTTATTTAAACCAGATATTAAAGGTGATAACTCTGGTAGTGATGCACTTGGCCACTGAGATAATTAGGAAGCACCATTTCCATAATTACTGTGTCACTGTCTCTGGAGGGACATGAAAGCTTGTCCTGTCCCTTTAATGGGACAAGTTGCTAATCCCCTTAACATTTTTTTTCCCTTTGGACTGATAATATTTCACTTTTTTTTTTCTTTGTAAAATATTCCTAAAGGGAGGCTTAAGCAATAAAGCACAGATTATGGAAATGATGTTCATTAAGTAGAGGGCAAGATTTCTAGAAAGCCACAGAGGTACCTCGAAACATGTAACCTCCATTAGAGGCTTCATTTGAATGTTTATTCATGGAGCAGTAAACGTTTATTATTATACATTTTATTGAAACATAAATTAAAGAACTGTAATTATGTGTATAGCAAACAGTAAAGCAATGTGCATTTGTCACAGAATGAGTAAGACAAGGAAAAATGCCATAATTGTTTCATTTGCATCCAAATCCTTTATTGTATACCCAACAGAAAAATACCCGGAGGGAATAACTGTGGATTAATGTTCTGATACGGTGTATAAATAAAAAAAAATACATATTCTAGATATTCTTTCTAGCAAAGGGAATATCCTGGAATTAATTTGTCAAGGTCACAAGTTATCCAAAGAAAGGGTGGGTTTCTTCTTTTCTCCTGAGAGAGAACCACAGTGACTCTTATTAAAGTTAATGCTGAGCAAAGAATACATCCCCTTGGCAGTCTGTGCAAATCTGATTGTTTTCAGGATGAGCTATTTGCTCCAGACACTCAAGAGTATTTGAGGAGTTTTTTAAAAAGGACTTATATGAAGCGGGAAAGATAAGACCTTCAAACTTACAATTTTGTAAAAACAAAAAATACTTTTCAATGGGAAAAAGAGGAATGTGCGATGTAATCATAATGGCTCTGCACAGGCCACATCTTGTGTGTGCAGGAACTCTTAAGCAGAGGGAAAAGACAAGAGTGGCCAAGAGAATCTGTATATATGAGGTTCCTTTCTTCTTTCTCCTAAAGCAACCTAATAAAGAACACTTAGCAATCACCTACTACCCATCCATCTATCTATTCCTCCACCCACCCATCCACCCACCCATCCACCGGTCCACCTGCCGAGCATTTATGTACATACTATGGAATGTAGGATTGGGGGAAGTAAATAACCAGGAGAAAAATACAGTCAGGAATAACCCAGAGTTCCAGACTAATGGAAGAGAGGCACCTGTAATTATTGGTACTTTACAGTGAAAAGCAGACATTGAGATACATACAAACAATCAGAGGAGCCCTGGGGAATCTGAAGGCTACACAGAAAAGGTGGCATTTGAACTGGCTCTTACAAGTTGGGGGTTAATGACAGAGAAGGACCTCCACGTGGAGGAAGGAACGCTGTGTAATTTTTCTTATCAAGGATATGTACTGTAAACACAGCAGCTACCATAATTGCTCATAAAATACAAGGATGACAAATCTGGAAACATTCTTTGTATCTCTTGAAAATCATTTTACTGGAGCTGTCACTAAGGTTCTCTTTCTGCCCAGCAGCGAACAGAACCCTCACGTGTGTGGCTTAATGGGAAGACTTTTTTTGTCCTTGAGTCAGTCTACCTTGCCAAGAATGGCCAGCGATCCCTGTACCGACGGATGAAAGAGGACTCCAAACTTTGCTGTGACAGAGAGGAGAAGGCAAGGGGAGTCAACGCTCAGAGAGGAAGACCCTTTCTTCTTCTTTGCTCCCACTTTTATTGGTCCTTCAGGATAATCACAAATTTTTATCACTGTTTCTCAAGCACGTGATGTGTGACAAGGGGTCTTACTGGAACTAGGAGGATCTATTTACGGGAAAGATACGATATGCTAATCTGTGTGTTCTACCAGTGCTGCTAAACATAGTTTAAGGGACAATGCATACGTCTCTTAGATCACAGGGCGGCTCTTTGGGCTAAGAAAGCTTGGGGAAGGCACCCCCCCCTCAGCATTCCAAAGGCCCACGCCCTTCTCCGAAACTTTCCATCGCCCCCAGCGGCCCCTCTGTTCCATTTTAGCAAGTCAGATATTATGGCTGATTTCATGCTCTACATTAACCCCAACATACCTGGAATTCCACCTGTCTTGTTGCATGAGTATGCCCTCCTGCCAGAAAAATGACCAGATTTACATGGGTTTATTGTGGTTTTATAAATCTTGCTCGAGTTTGTCAACTTTCTAAATGGCAGTGATGATACATTTGACTTTCTTCTCACCGAACAGTCTTAAAAACTTGAAGCTGTCCTATCACTGAAAATCAATCATGAACCAAAAGATAATTGAGAACATGTGTACAGGATTGATCTCAGATTTATATGAAATCTGTTGTTTTATGGGACTCTCTTGCAGAAGTGCTTACTATCCTAAGGGTGAGTAGCGTATGGAGCAGTTGGCTTATAACTTCTGCTGGGGTGCGTCTAACTATACTACAGCGCCAGTAGTAAGTGTCATCCCTGGGCATGGCAATTGAGAAAACCTGCTCAGTCCTTCTCCTCAGGCCTCAGTGTCTTTATTTATAAATTCTTTCACCTTGCCTCACCTTTCAAGCAGAGAGAAAACCAGTATTCTAACACATAAGATCATTGTGTGGATAAAAGGAGATATGTAGATAAAGTGCTTAGGCCAATGCTAACATATTCTAAATATTCACTAAATTTTATTATTTCTCTATTACGCCGCAGGAATTCTCGAAATATTTTTGACAGTCTGCTCCTACTCTGAACCAGAAGGCTCAGTTCTGTAGTGAGCCTTGCTAAATGTGCTCTATTCTGAACCATCACAACCACCCCAAAGCCTGTGTTTTCTTTATGGTCAGATTCTGCCTTACTTGCTTTGGGAAGTAGGGTTTTGTAGTTCCAAAATAAATGTCACTGGAGTACTCCTGCGCACGGGGCTTTGAGGACACCTTGACACGGTCAATTCAAGAACAAAATTAGTGGTCTGTCAAAAGGCACAGGCACAGTGACGGTTTCTGACCCTCCTGTCAAAGTGTTCCGTCCTTTAGAATATCAGCCATGTTCAAGCAACTGGTATGCCTTTCATGAAACAGAAGAAACACAGTGTTGTTCCTCTGCCCAGACTGGCCCAGTTAAGTTGAGAGACTTTAAGAAAAAAATAAAAGCTAAAAGCCAGTTCAGTTAAAAAACAAAACAAAATAAAACTCCCAGAATTTGTGGAGACCCCGTCGAGTTTTTTGCCTTAACAATTGTGTTTTTAAGCCATATATCAATGGTGGTGCTCCAGTTGTGAGCTACAATAATATATCATGAGACGGACAGTGCTCCCATGATATACGGGTGCAGCACATCATCTCAGGATCACAGCTTTGATGATGTATGGCTCCAAACCACAATAAGAGTTTAAAGGAGCTTTTAGCGACCAGACAGCTTTAAATTTCAAATTTTCTAAAAATTAAGGTCTTTTCAAGTCAAATAAAAGCAAGATGATGGAATCCAATGCTGTATAAAATGTCCCTGCCCTCTGAGAGCCTGGGAATGTGTCTTTCCCTTTTGGCTTTAAGCTCAGGACATAGAAATAATTGGCAGGCTCCTCTTCAATTTCTCCTTCACAAGAACGGAAGCTCGGAGACCTGAGCAAACATGAGCTAGTGTCAGTGCATCTGTTTTGCCAATCAGTTCCCCCCATCTTCTGCACGGCAAGCATGAGTAGCTCATCTTCGTAGCCAAGGACTGGATCACGTGAGATGATTTTTGTTTTCTTTGTTTTAAGGAGTACTTCCGCTAAAATTCAGAACAAAATGAACACATAAAAAGTAGAACAACTTCCTTACCCATCGCTCACAAATTCAAAAGAGGGCCCTCAGGAAGACAAATTGCCTTTTCTATCATTTGTCTTTGTAAAGTAAAAGCACTGATTGCAAATGAGGAGAAAACTCAAAGGTGACTGACATCTGGGCCGTTCACCCTGAGCGGGAACTGGGAGCTATTGCTTTAGTTCCAGCACCTTTCCTGTGTTAATGATGTGTTTATAAGATGCTGATGTTGCTGAGGAGAATGTACCGACTTTGTTTAAAAACCACTGGATTTTGGTGGCAAGGAAATCACTATCAATTAAGAAAGCAGGTGCTGGAAGCACCTCCCCTCCTTCTCCTGCTTTTAATCCTACTGCAATAAACAGAACAAAATGAGAAATCTCCCTACTGTTTGTATAATAGGCCCAAACAGGAACAGCAAGAGACAATTACATTTCAAGTGGCTTCTTCCATTTTCCTTTCCTAAGTGAATTAAAGGGAAGCATGGCGGTAGAGTAGCGACCATGTGGAGAGAAACATCTGGGCAGGAGGAATTAACACAGTCTCCCTGCCCATTATCTTGCCTCTAGTTTTTCACTCCTTTGACTTCCTCCACAGATTCTAATTCTCAAATTACAATAGATTTTCGATGTCCACCTCCTCCTCCTCCCTGACTTCCAAAAGGCAAAACATCCTGTTTTTGCCAAATAGAACCTTTTTTTTGGTCTCAAAAAGAAGTTCTGGGCCTTTTATTCCCCCCCCCTTCTTATATAAATAGCTTTACGTATATAATCTGGGTATCAAAAAGAAATAAACACATCACCCATTATTCTGAGGCTGTCATTTGAAGCATCTGATTGAGGGAGACCTTGCGTCTCGAGAGATGTGGGCTATGTCATCACGTGTTTGAAGAATCCCCTAAATTTAATCTGCTTCTTTTCTGTAAAGAGAACACCGACACATCATTTAATTATTTTTTTCCTCATAAATCAAGAACTTTACTTAGACATCTGTCATACTATCACACCATTCATCCATCCATTTCTAAGTCATTGTCAGTTATGCCAGGAGTTACCATGTTTGTGAGAACAGTATACGCTCATAACTGCTCACAGTGCTCCAGACGTATCAGCACATCCAAAACACAAAGAAATAGGAGCTACAACTGTCTCCATTTTTCTAGAGGAGGAAATGGGGCTTACTGAGAACAAGTCAATTGTCCAGGGTCACCAAATCGATCACAGTGGCAGAGAGGAGATACTAAGGCAGGTTGAGGAGATGTCACATCCCATCTTTGTGACACCACTGTCCTTCCCAACTACACAACTAGTATACGGGTGAAACGTGTGTCTGGGTTCGTTTGGAATAGTCCAGGCTTAGGCCTGTCATTATAAACAGGCCAGTGTAGTTGGGAACAGGCCTCCTTTCACTCTCAAAAGTTCCACTGTAGACAGTCAATTCTATGGTTCCCCTAGGCAGCCCTACTTCTGTTGATTCTAAGTATTGTCATCTGCCTCCACTGGGAAAACAGAGAAGGAAGGGCAGGAGGCTGGCTTTTGTGAAGTTCTTGAGACAGGGTGGCCTGCTGACTCTGTTCATGTGCTTGTTACATTTATGTATCTTCTTTGGAGAAATGCCTATTCCTATCTCGCCTATTTTTTTAGTTGGAATTTTGTCTTTCATTACATTGTAATAGTTCCTCATACATCCCGCATGCAGTGCCCTATCAGATATATGAATCTACAAAAATATTCTCCCATTCTCTTGAGTTGACTTTTCAGTTTCTTGATGGTATCCTTTGAAGCCCAGGGTTTTACATTTTGATAATGTTCACCCTCTTCCACTTTTAAGGACCCTTGTAAATGGTGTGCATGGGTGGCTCCGTTAGTTAAGCAGCGGCCTTTGGCTCAGGTCATGATTCCAGGGCCCTGAGATTGAGCCCCATGTCAGGCTCCCTGCTCAGCAAGGAGCCTGCTTTTCCCTCTCCCTCTGCCTGCCGCTCCCCCTGCTTGTGCTCTCTCTCTCTCTCTGTCAAATAAATAAATAAAATCTTAAAGAAAAAAAAAAAAGGACCCTTGTGATTACCCTGGGCCCAGGTGGATAATCCAAGATCATCCACACTCTTCCCATTTTAAGGGCAACTGGTTAGCAGCCTTAATCTTTCTACAACCTACTTCTCCTTTGCCATGGAAACTAATGTATTCACAAGTTCAGGGAGTAGGATGTGAGCATGCTGGAGGGGTCACTATCTGCCCCTGATCTGCAGTGGTTTTTGTTATTTATTAGAATCAGATTTGCCTTCTGAGGCCACTCATTGATCTGAGTGAGGAGGTTCATGGGGCAGTAGCTGAGGGTGGCAGGACACTAGTTACTGAGAGGGTAGCTGTCTCCCTCTAGCCTTCCTTGCCTTTCCCCTTGCCATGATTGTATCCCTTATAACCAACTCGCACTGTATTTCAGCAAGGGCAAAAGACACTAGTGTGGCGACACCGACCATCCTCAAGTGAGTATGAGGTAAAGTAGGTGTGTTCAAAAGGGAAGAAGAAGCTCTGTAGCACAAAAGAGGCAGGGCCTACAAAAATGTTGGCAGGGTATTAAAACTCAGAGAAATCCCACATTTGGAGAAAAACTGAGAGATAACAGAAAGGGCTTTTAAAGCTAAAATGTGCTCAACCACAGGGACCAAGGAAAGGTGGATCTCCTGCTTGATGCAAATGACTTACATTTAGTAAATGAGGGAAACAAAGACTTGCCATTTGAACAACTTTGTTCATCTCTATGATACTGGGCATGGCTTCCAGCTAGGAAAGAGTAAGATAGAAATGGAACTCAGGAGATAACACTGCTGTAAGTGAATTGAAGTTTCTATGCAAAAGGCCAGTTCCATCCCATGATCCCAAAAGGATTTGCAGATGTGATCAGAGACATGACTGAGAAATCGTGGAGCTTGAGAGACGCATCAAGGAGCTGCAGCAAGGAGGTGTCCTTATATTTGGAATGGATATTTGGGAGAAGCAGGGTGGCCTCTTAAGAGATGGTGTCACGACAGATGTGGGTTCAGATTTCAGTGCTTGGTCACTCTCTGCAGGAGCTTGTGCAAGTTCCTTAACCTCGTTGGGTCTATTTTGTCACCTGAACATGATAATGCATTTATTAATCACCTCTTGGGAGTATTGGAAGGCTTCATTGAAATGGTGTACAATCATCCTAGGGACTGGCATGGAGCGAGCTTTAAATAAATGCTAACAATGATTTCTACTACGAAAGGTTATAATAATTATAGAAACTAGTAGGCTGAGGAAACTTCAGCCATATTTCCCAAGAAGTGATTTCCTTCCTCCTCTGCCTATAGAACCATTGATTTCTTTCCAAGACTCCTTTTCCTTAGAACATTGCCTGTGCTTATTTATCTCCCTTTCTTCACCTTCCCCTCTCTCTTAAATCTACATCAGTTCTTTTTAAATAACAGCCTTATTGATAAATAATTCACATGCCATCAAATTCACTCTTTTAAAGTATACCGTTCCAAGTTTTTCTAGAATATTCACAATGTCGTGCAACCATCACAACTAATTCCAGAATATATTCGTCATCCCCAAAAGAAACGTCATGCCCTCTAGTGGTGACTCCTTATTCTCCCATGGCAACTGCTAATTTACTGTCTTGTCTCTATGGATTTGCCTTTCTGGACATTTCACATAAATGGAATCAGACAATATCTGGCCTTTTATGTCTGGTTTCTTTCATGTGGCATAATTCATTTAGCATAATTCTTCGACTTAGCAGTACTTCATTCCTTTTTATGGCCACATCATGTTCCAATGTGTGACTGTACTGTGTTTTGTTGATGCATTCACTGCTTGATGGACGTTTGGGTTGTTTCCCCTATTTGACTGTTGTGAATAATACTGCTATAAATTTTCATGTGCAAGTTTTTGTGTGGACATATGTTTTCATATCTCTTGGGCACATGCTTAGGAGTGGAATTCTGGGTTATATGGAAACTCTGTTTAACTTTTTGAGGAAGTGTCAAGCTATTTTCCAAACCAGTGATACTCTTTTACATTCCCACCAACAGTGTAGGAAGGTTTTAATTCTCCATATTCTCACCAACACTTGTTATTGTCTTACCTTTTTTTTTCTTTAATCACCTTTCTGTTGAATAGGAGGTAATATTTCAGTGTAGCTTTGCTTTGCATTTCAGTACTGACTAATGATATTGAGTCTGTTTTCAGTTAAGTGTTTATCCCCCTGATTTGACTGAAACCAACTCAAGCTTTCAACAACATTGACACTGATGATTATTCCTTCCTTCTTGAAATTTCTTCCTCTCTCAGCGTTAGCACTGACCCTCTCCTGACTTGTCTCTTTCCTCACCGTATCCTTAACTTTGAATCCTTTTTTTTCTTCCCAAACTTCAAATGTGTAAGAGTCCCAATTCTGAATTTTTAGGTCTGCCTGCTATATTTTTTCCATAACACTTGTCTTCACCTGAAATTAAGTTGTATATTTATTTGCTTGTTTATTTTCTGCATCACCTCTTGGAATGTAGCTTTGTGGGGGGAGGGACTTTGTCTTGTTTAGTACTGTATCCCTGGTTCCTAGAGTAGCACCTGGTTATAAATAATTTTGCATGAATAATGGTATTAGAAAAGTATAAATAGATGTTATATAAATAAGGATTTGAGATCTCCATTATTAAATAAGTTTCCTGGTAGCTAACTGAACATATTTAATTGAGTGTATTTAATGTGGTTCTTGCCTGATACCTTAATATGCTAATGAGCATTGTGAAATTTTACTTGACCATAAAAACTTTTTTGGTATGGAATACGTCATGGCTTTTCTGAAGTATTCTTCAGAAAACTCAAGCAGCTAAACTGCTTGACACCCTAGCAAAATTTAAACTCTAGCAAAAAAATAAACCCTGGCAAAAGTTTGGAGTGCTTTATTAAGTAGAAGTTTTACACCACTTAGAAAAGTAAGTGGTGATCACCGAGGCTCAATATGAATTCACTAAGGACAGGTTATGTTAAAATATCCCCATGTGTGCTGATCATAGGGTTGTATTTGTTTTGTTTTGTTTTACTGGAATACCATTCTACTGGAAGGCCGTGGTAATGGTATTCCTTCACAACAGTGAAGTTGTGAGCTGGGTTTATCATGATTTCCCTTGTCTGAGAAGTTGAGTGGGTTGTCAGGATCTTGTGATCAGTCTGTCACTTAAGAATTTATGTCAAGATATCAGGCTGCGTTGAGGTCTATGCCCTTGGGGAGAAGCACCTACATAATGAGCTGTTTGTTGTCATCAGTGTCACCGTAAATCTCAGGTGGTTACCAATGATCAGGAAAGACATTTCCAGGACTGGGTGATAACAAAGCTTATAGAGATAGCCCTGAACATTAAACCCAGGCAGGCAAGGTAAAGAAGAGGAGGCATGGGATGGGCCTGGACCCAGGAGGTTCCCTTCATATAATATTAAGTTCATAGCCAGCCCTAGTTCACTAATGCACAACAGGCACATCCTTAAGGATAAGGCACAGAGGGTGACAAGAGTGCAGGAAGCCAGGGAGCACTTAGTAATAGTATGTCTTCCAGAAGTCGATAGGGCAGACAAAACAATTAGTGACCTTGGTGCCTGTGGTCACTTTTGGTAGGAAAAAGGTCAGGAAGCAGAAGGATAGTCTATACCAATGACGTTGGCACCACCTGGCAGTTTGTTTGAAATGCACGTTTTGGGGTCCCAAGGATATGTGTCTCACCAAGCCCAGGTGCATGCTCAACTTTGAGAACCACCAGTCAATGCAAGAGAAACAAGCTGTAGCAACAGATAAACTAGAAACACACCCCACTCGAGGAGCTTCTTAAATCTCTTCCTTGCTAGTGTGGGATCTAGTGCCTGGATGTGATCTCTACTTGGTCTGAAGGTCAAAAAAAATGATAATGAAAATAAGTAAAAAGAAGAAGAAGAAGAAGAAGAGTAATAGTGCTATAGCTACATGTACTGAATACCGATGATACACAAAGCAGCATGCTGAGCGCAGGCTTAGTGGATTTGAATCCTCTTAATGACCATGTGAGGTAGAGACTGCTGCCGTCCCCGCTGCAGCCAAGGATACAGAGATCCAGGCCCTTCTGAGGCAGGGGACACGGCCAGTAAGTCGTCGGTCAGGTTCACAGTAGGCAGTTTGACTGCAGGGCACTGGTGTGGAATACCTGATTATTCCACGTATGAGGGAGGTGGTGGGTGGATGGATAGAAGAAAGGAAGAAAAGAAGGAAGCAGGGCAGAAAGGAAGGAAGGAGAAAAGGAAGAAAGGAAAGGGGAAAGAACAAGAGGAGGGAAGGAGAGCTGCAGGTTTGGGAAGCGAGGGTCGAGTGAAGCCTCCTTCGGAGGGGAGCTCTCTCCTTGTGCTGTGGCATTTTTCTGGTCTCACCTTGAAGTCGGCCAGCCTGTGTCCTTCAGCGTATTCCAGCCTGAGCCCGTCCTCCATTGCTTTCTCCTAAGACTTTGTTCCACAGGCAGTTTGCAACTTATGTTGCCTTGTTTATTTGTTCCCCTTGTCTCCCTATAGCTCACTCTGTCTTTGTAACTTAAGTATACACTGTCCCAGTTGCTGAACAGTCTATGACTACCTTCCATCATCAACTGGAGAATATTCTGGCAAAAACGTGTCCCTCTTTGGGGACTGCACTCAGGGGCTGATGTGAGGCTCCTCTGCATTCGTTCATCTTGCACCGCCTTGTTCCCTGCCTCTGCTTTAATAGCATATCATTTTTCCCCTCCATGTGCAGCAAAGCCACAGGGACACTTCATCTCACATTCTTCAGAGGCCCTTTGGAAGCTCAGAGCCTGATCTCTGTAATCAAGAAGGGGTGGGCGTGATCAGGGACTAAGTTTGATTCTTTGTCTGCCTCTCTACATTTAGGCTTTTCATTTTCACATTCCTCCCCACGGTTTGTAATAAACGCAGGAACATAGCTCAAGGGCAGGAATGAGGTTTAACTTTAGCCAAGGTACAACAGAGGCTATTTGGAAAGTAAAACTTTCAAACAGCAGTTTAGCCTTGAAGAATATATTGAATTAGATATGCGATGTGCCTTGATTCATGATCTCTGCATAACAACATTGCTATGACTATTACCTGGGGGCTTTCATAGACTGGAGACATGGGCTTTTTAATAGATCGAACTCACAGAAGGAGCATCGATGCTCATGAAGAGTGTGGGGGCAAGAGCCACAAGCCCTGGGTTCCTGCAGGGATGCTGCCACCTCCTGTGGGGTCTTGACCACTTCTGAGGGTAGATTTCCTCATCTGTAAAGGGGATCTGAGAGCAGAAGTTGCCTCATGGGATTATTTAGAGCAGTACATGAGATCCATGCTAAGCATAGAGCTTTCTTATCACAGTAAGTAGATGTTTAACAAAGGAGGACTATTTGTATTACTGTTAAATGATTTTTATTTGAAAACCATGATTCTGTAACTTGGCCCACACTCTTTGCTACTCTCACTTATTTGCTCTTATGCAATTCTCTTTTGGCCAATTTTGAGTTTTTGTCCCTTTCAGAGTCCCTGTGGTCAACTTTTTAAACCATGCTGTCACTTCAAAGCACTGGCTAACTATAGCCAAGACTGACAGCTATGGCTAATTCCACAGACACCCCCCCCACAAAACACCCTGGCATTTCACTCAAATTCTCATCCATGCCACCACATTTTTCTCTCTTGTTTTGAGCCTCTCCATTCTCCATGGATTTCAGATACAGTTACTGAAGGTGAACATCACCCTCCTCTGAAAACTAATCCAGCAGGAACGAATGTGGAGTAATTGGGCTTCATGGGAGCATCACTGTCAAGTCTTGAAATATATGGGGAGATAATCACATTTCATTTCTTTTCTCTCTCGTTCATTTTCAGCATGTTCACGTCCACGTTCTTCCGAGGAAGGCTGGAGACTTTCACAGGAATGACAGCGTCTATGATGAGGTGGGTCTGTTCTCTCTGATCTTATTGCGTGATCACAGGGGCTGTCGGTATGATGAAATCAAGCTGATGAACTAGGCATCACCCTGATATATGGGCTTACATGGGATTCCACCCAGTATGACTTGGGAAGTGACGGTAGAAGCCAAGGAGCCGAGAATAGCCATGACAGGAACCAAAGACAAATGAATTATAATGATTTTCTTTTTCAAATGAAATGTGGCAGAAAGCAAGTGTCCTTGTGATTTCCACCCTCTCATTTACCAGGACACTAAATATTATGTGGCGATAGGGCCCAGAGTCTCCATAGGAGAAAATATGTAGTGCTGCTGATCAATGGAAATCAATGCGACTCATACATTATTTTTCTAGTCAGATGCTCCATTTAATTTTAAAGACCCTTTGGACCTCAGCTTGTCTCTCCTAATAGCATTTATTCAAAGTGAAACTTTGAATTATCATCAGCAGAACCTAGTTGGCTTGAATGATATGAGTGCTGCCCATGTATTATAAACATTTTAGCAGTTAACTGATTTCTGGATATTTTCATTAAAAAATATAAATGTGAAACCACTTATAGAGATGAAGTAGCAAGGTGATCTGCTCCTATGGTCTCATCTACCTGAGAAACTTCAGGGGTCTGTGTGCACTTTGTGGGGTAAATATCCTATAATGGATATGCTGTTGTAAAATATTAGATGATAATTTCAGTTTAACTACTTATACTAGCCAGGGAAGGGCACATATGTTCCCCAAATGATCAGATGGCAGGGGTGCCCTGAGTGCTTGGTTGGAAAGGGTTTTGAGGCTGTTTCCGGATGAAACAAAGACAAATGCTATGATTGATTAGCAGTGTCTATCACAGGTGTCAGATAGGAAAGAGGTACCAATTTTGCCATCTTTTTGACATTATTATTCTAACCACTTGAGAACAACGTTTAAAGTACATTTTTTTTTTTATTTTAGCTGTTCATGTGGCTCTATCCCTACGATTATCTCCACCTGGTTTTATATTTGTAGGGTTTGGGTTTTTTTTTTTTTTGTATTTGTGTGTCTTTTTTTTTTTGTGTGTGTGTGTTTGTAGTGTTTTTTTTTGCAGTAACTAGGTATTAAAATGGCTACCCAGGCCCTAAAAAATAAAGAATGAAAGGTCATCAGTTAATAATGAGACTTAAAATTAATTTTTCTGGGACTCACTGGATCCTCAGCGGTGACTGGTGATCATGCTTTTGGGATATCCCTCACTATATTGTGCCTCCTGTGAGCTGCAATAGGCCTGTGCAGAGTGGAAATGTTCTAGTTACTGGTTCCTAAGTACTGGTTTTTGGACGAATTGCTGCAGATCTCCATTCCCCATAGATCCCATCCCTAGAGATTTTGACCCAGTAGATTGCAGGAGCACACTGGAATCTGTAATTTATGGGAGCATAAGAAAGTGCCCAGGAGATTCTGATCATGGCTAGATTTGGGAATACTCTCTCTCCCAAATTTGTGCTTTCTGAAAGTTCTATCCTATAATACTGTAATTTGAACTCGTTTTCATGAGATGTGGAATGTGACTTGGAGTTAGTAAGGGCTTAGTTCAAGTTGGAAGAAAATCAGAATTATGGAGTAATTATAAAGAGATGCATTTTTAAAAAATATGAGTACTGATCTTATTAGCATAAACTAAGGTTAATAAAATGTTGCCAAGTACAGGCTATTTTAATGAATAAATTAGCACATGATTTATATACAAGTGAATACTGCTAAAGTGTTATTAAAAGTGCTTGAAAACACTGTTTTCTTAGGCTGAACTGTCACCTTGAAATCTTATTTATATTCCTAATGTGCTTACGACAGGAGCTGTGGGCCTGCATTTCAGCCCAGTTCGAGACACAATGTCCAACGCTGAGGTTGGCGTGTGACCTTTCTCCCCTCCCTTACGCTCTTGCCCTTGTGCATATGCTCTCACAGCCTCTCTAGCCCCACTGGTGAGGCAACACATGTTCCTGCTTCTCCCTACTTGGAGAAGCATCTCTGGAGATGGAATTACTATAAGAGTTCTGTTTTTTTGTTTTCAATTAACTGTTAAGTCATGTAGTATAGACAGTGCCCACAAAGGGGGATTGTGGTATAAAACTATGAAGTGATTGAACTTCAGAGACAGACAGAATTAGGTTTAAATCCAAGTGTCACCTGCTAATTTTGTGACATGGGGCAAGTCACTGAAGCTCTATCTTTAAAAATGGAGATAACATTCTTCAAAGACTCATACGAAACATATGATATGCCATACCTAAAAAGCTCATTGTGGGGATTGGCATCTACTAGGCATTTATTGATAGGTAGTGGTGCTGTTCTTATTGTGATCATTAATTTTATTTCTAAAAGAACTTGCAGTTGGTGGGTAAAGGGAGAACTTAGATTCAAAGCCACGTCATTGGATGCTTCCATTCAACACTCTTTTCAGGGGTCAGATTTCCAATTTTTCCTCTGCCTTTCACTACTCGTTCTCAGATTCATCTTCCTCTTTGTGCAAAAATATACTTTTCCAGTTTCAGCACTATAATAAGATAATGTCTAGAAAGTGGCACAGGAAGCATGAAGCATTGCACAGGCATTATTGGTACAAGACATAATGTACGTTAGACTGAGTGATCTTAATCAGAAATGATAGAGTGATGAGGGACGGCATTCTTTATGCTGATCGGAGCTCTCACTCTAGATTATCTATCTGTCCACAAAATACAACAAACACACTTGCCTTAGAGGGTGGGGAGTGGGAACAGGGACAAAGGAGGCGGGGCTCCATAAAACGCAATTGTGTTTCCAATACTGCAGAACACGATGCCTAAAGAAGCCCTAGATTATAAATCAGCTAGGAATGTGGTGTTCTCCCTGGGCCCCGTTTCAGGAGAAAGAGTGACAAACTAGAGAAGGTTCACAGAAAGGTGACTGGGATGGCAGAGTCTGGACATGGTGATGGAGATATTTTGCCTAGAGAAGGGAAGACTTGCAGAGGGAAGGCAGTGACAGAGTCACTGTTTCTAAATATTTGCCAGTAGGTGGGAAAAGTTAAATGATCTGTGTGTCTCTGGCAGGGATGGGGTGGAAATCTAGGGCTTTGGGGCTAAAAGGAGCCAGATATCAGCTCCACGTAACAACAGATCAAATTGATAGAACTTGCTGAACACTTACAGCGCCTTGTATGTGTGTGTGTGGTTGGCGGTGTGTGGGGGTTTCCCTTTCCCGGATCCATGCAGGCACAGAGTGGATGGCCATGATTCTTCAAGAGGACTTCTACATCCAGTCCTCGAGGTACCCCTTGACCCACTGGATCATTACCTTTATTTTTCAGTTAGGCAAGTTCTGTAACAACTAGTGTGAGTTATTGTTGTAGTAGTCATCAGAATAAGCTTTTGGGTTACTGCCTAATAAACTTTTTAATGTAGGTCATAGAAATATAAGTGTAGCTCTCCTCTCTGAGTTATGGGTGACCAGGCTTTATTGACTTTTCTCATTCTCAGCCTGCTTCCTACTTTTCCTCCAGATCCCTGCTGCATATCGATGGTCCATGGGCTCTGCTTGCCTCCACATATGTATTTTATTTTGCCTGCAAAGTATTTTTTAATGAGTCTGAATGCTGTTGGGCACGTCACTCATTCTTCAGGTCGCTGCATCTCCCCCAACTCCCTGTCTCTTACCAACGCCTGCCTCACATGTTTATGATACTTGTCTGGCCACTAAAGGCATTTGAGTTTGAGATCTCTGTCTATTTCATGGACTACCCTTCTTCCCTCTACCATTCAAATGTCACTATTCTACAGGACTGTTTATCTCGTCTACTGTGCATGTCACTTCTCTGTAACCTCCATTTTACTTCCTTGGTTACTCGTGTATAGTGTTATGGCCCTGGGTGAGTTCTTTAACTTCAGTTCTGTGTCCTGCCTACCTCTCCAGCCCCTGTTAGATTCACTCTCTCTCACTGCTTGCTTTTGTCAAATATATTATTCTTGTTCCCACCTCAGGGCCTTGGCACCGTTATTTTCTTTGCCTATAACCTCAAGTGGCTTCGTGTCTTCATCTAAATCTCAGCTCAAATGTCACCTTCTCAAAGGTGGATACCCCCAACCCATCTCTTATCTCCTCCACAATAATTCTATCATATTACTACATTTATTTCCTTCTTAATATTTACCACACTTGAAATAATTTTTTAGTTTAGTATTCAGTGCCTGTGTTCCCAACCACACTGTAGGGACTTGGGAACAGGGACCTAATCTGGCATGGAGGTGGTCTCCAAGAAATATTTGTTGAATGAATGAGTACATGAGGGAATGAGGTGTTGAACTAGAAGAACTTCACATTCCTGGGGCGCCTGGGTGGCTCAGTTGGTTAAGCGACTGCCTTCGGCTCAGGTCATGATCCTGGAGTCCCGGGATCGAGTCCCACATCAGGCTCCCTGCTCAGCAGGGAGTCTACTTCTCCCTCTGACCCTCTTCCCTCTCATGCTCTCTATCTCTCATTCTCTCTCTCTCTAATAAAAAAAAATCTTTAAAAAAAAGAAGAAGAAGAAGAACTTGATATTCCCTACTAGTCCTAGCATAATTTAAAGGGAGAGAGTATCTTGCTTTTTAAGGGGGTCAATTTATTAACTTCTTGCTATATTGGGTGAGACTCTGACATGGTGATGTCAGCCATCTGAAGTTAATTTAGTGGAGGATTTATGGAACAGAATCTAAGAATCTACTGGTCAGAAATCAGTGTGCACACAGCTCCAAATCGTCCCATGTCAGAAGGATGGCGAAGTAATTATAAACCTTGTCTGATTGCTAAGGAAGTCTGGTAGGCACGTGTCAACATTGATAAGTCACTTGCTTCCACCAAAATGTAGACTCACGTGTCTGTAACAAATACAGATGTGGGATTTGCTGAAAGCAGGCTCGAGAGTTCTCTTCCTTTCATTTCGACCTGGATTATCATCTCTGGGGTTATCTTTATCTGCTCTTCCTCCAGCTTTC